TATATATCAGTAAAAATATAACAAATATATAACTTATATTAGTAATTTAGACAAAAAAATTCAGAAGATGGTATTTTTTTAAACTAGGAATGTGCGATATGGCAAAAAATTCATATCACGATATACATTATGATGGATGGCAGTAATAATATATATCATGATATACAGTATATAACATATATTAGAAAATAAATAAATCACATACTAATTGAGTGGAATGTATAAATATGTATGAGTTTTAAAAAAATTTTAGACCTTAAAATCTCCTTTTTAAGGGTTATGTTAAGGTCTCCATTAAAATCTCTACTTTAAATGAGACCTTAAAATGAGATTTTTCAGTTCTTCCTTAAAAATCTAATTTTAAGAGAGACCTACCTGTTTAAACCTAACAAAGTTAAATTATATATATATATATATATATAATAAACACAATAACTTTATTGTAATGGATCCATTGGATGTTGTGTTTGAACTTGTAGTCAGTTGCTATTCAATCACCTGCTTCGTTTTAAGGTGGTAAAACAAATTGCTTGTATTTATTCCTTTCTACACACTTTGCCGATTACTTTTTCTGCAGTCCACGTGTTTTACTCTGTGCGTACTCTGGCGGGGTGACAATCATCCTGTTTATGCTTTACAGGTTTTTTTTTTTTTTTGGAAAGACAGTCAGACCGTCACCCTTTCCCACAGCGCTTTCCCGCTGTACGACTTGAGACAGCATGGTGCTATGACTGCAGGAGAAATGAGGTACATTAGACTCAGCAAGCTTTTGTGCGTCCCACTGGAGCTCACACTGACTTCACCTGCACTGACAGTCGCCTCGCTGTGTGACCGTGACGTGCCGCGCTCCTGTGGTCACTCAGCAGCCAACCGGACGATGCACTGTCATGTTGTTGTTCGTAATAAAATCTGCCTGGTGGTCCACTCACCTCCACAGAGGTCCCTGAGGTCCTCCTCGATGGCCTCGTCGATGGCGTCGTCGAAGTCATCGAACCTGCAGCACCAGGAGAGATTCATCAGCTGCTTCAGTGACGGTTCTGTTCACAGAGTTTTAGCTAACCTGGCCCCGCCCACCTGTAGCTGATGTGTTTCCTGGTTCTGGTCGATCTTCTTCCCAGATTTTTGCTCTTCTTTGAATCTTTCTGCTTCGCTGATTTCTCCTCCTCCTCCTCCTCCTCCTCTTCGTCCTCCTCTCCCTCCAGAAACAGGTGATGTCCTTTCATTAAAAAGGCACCTTAAATCTGCAGATGTTTTTACAGGTGAAGCTTCACTTACAGGGATTATGTTCTCCACGCTGATCCCCACGTACACCAGCCGCTCCCTCCTGGACGAACAAAACCAAACATTTCCTTTTTAACGTTTCGCTGCTTCTTTTAGTGTTTTTTATTTTTTTAATTAGTCCAGTGCACTCACCTCCTCTCCGCTCGCTCTCGTTTCTTCAGAATGCTGTCCAGATACTGCAGCTGCTCCTCCAGTTTCTCACACAGCATCTTCTAAAATTTAAAGTTTTTAAACCAGATTAAATCTACTCTTACAGCTAGTTCCTTTAAAGCGTCTATAAATGTGTTGTTTGTGCAGCTCACGTGTTGACACGGTGGACAGAACCATTCTCCGTCTGGGATCAGCATGAGCGGCGGTCGCAGGCAGGCGGTGTGGTATCCTTTATCACACGAGTCGCACAGCAGGATCTGGGGACACAGAGACGCACACACTGAGGACACGCAACCCTCTGAACGGCTTTTTATTCTTTTATATTTGGCTGAAATCACTGAAAACAAATAAACAGCTAAAGACTTGCAGCTGAAATCGCTCTAAAAGTGCTGACTCATGGGGGCTGAATATAAACATGCTGTTTAGATTTTTACCCAAATAAAAAAAGAAAATAAATTGTTTTCCTTTCACTTCACAAGTACTTTGTGTCTGTTCTAACCTTCAGCAGAAAATCTGTCAAAACGCGTTAAAGTTTGTGGTTTGATTGTGAAGAAATCTGTGTTTCAAGCGTAAAGAATCTGTTTTTACCAGTTCCGGGTGGTTTGGGAGGCCACAGTGACTGCAGGCGTCCTCGCTGGGAATCTGCTCCGATTTACACGATTCTCCCTCCGAATTGCTCACTCCTTCATCCTCCTCCTCCTCCTCCTCCTCCTCATCCTCCTCTTCTCCAGGTTTCCTGCCCCCGTCCTCTGCCTCCTCCTTCTCGTTCGGTCTGCGTCTCTTCGGGCGAATGTTGGTCCATCGAGGTCGTCCGTGCCGCCGTTTGCCCTGACAAAAATAAAAATTAAATTAAATTAAATAAATAAACAAACAAATAAAGCTGTGAAATAAAACCTAATTTATCTGTTTTCAGGTCGCAGATTAAAATAATTTTTACCCTTCGTTTCCTAAATTTCCCAGCCGGTCCAGCTTTTCTTTCTTTCACTACAGGCGAGCCGTGCTCCTCGTCGCCTCCTTCCTCCTCCTCCTCTTCCTCCTCCTCTCTCGTTCTGGCTGGCGTCGGCTGTTTTTTTTGCGGTTTCTTCCTCTGACTCTCGGCTGCCTTTGAACTCGGCCTGCAGTTTGGCAGAGCAAATGATCTTCAAGAAAAAAAAAAAAAAACAGATTTAGAGGGGGATGAATGTGTGTCGAGAGCGAGCCGCAGCTGAGATTAAAACAGAGTTTACCAGGTGAATGCTGAGTCAGCATTTACGCTACGCTTCTTCTGTTCGCAACTACTTCAGCTGTTTCAGCCTTTCAGCTGTCAAAACGTTTAGCTCATTCAGGACATTCCAGCCATGACTTTATTTCTGTAACTTTTATACTTTTTGAATTTTTTTCACTTTGTTTACAAACTAGAAACACATGATTTCTTTAAATCCTTAAACATTGTGCTCTTTGAGAGCTATCATTCCTAGCTTTTAGCTACTGCTCTGAATGATTTAGCTTCTAACCACTGTTATGACAGTTTTACCTTTAATCAACTTGTGTTTTGCTAGTTTAGCTAGCTTTAGCTTGTGTTTTGCTGGCGTTAGCTTGTGTTTTGCTAGTTTAGCATGTGTTTTGCTAGTTTAGCATGTGTTTTGCTAGCTTTACCTTGTGTTTTGCTAGCTTAGCTTGTCTTTTGCTAGCTTTAGCTTGTGTTTTGCTAATTTAGCTTGTGTTTTGCTAGTTTAGCATGTGTTTTGCTAGGTTTAGCTTGTGTTTTGCTAGCTTAGCTTGTGTTTTGCTAGCTTTAGCTTGTGTTTTGCTAGCTTTAGCTTTTGTTTTGCTAGTTTAGCTTGTGTTTTGCTAGTTTAGCTTGTGTTTGATTGTTTTATTGCCTTAGTTTCGGCTCATTTAACAGATTTCGGCATGTTGTTTAATGTTTTTGTCGTTCTCTCCACACGTACCTGCAGATCCTTGCAGACCTCCTCAGCGACCTCCCCTCCTCCTGCACCTCCCTCTCTTTCTCCTCCTCCTTTCCTCCCTTCTTTTTCAGCTTGTTTCTCCGGTGAGGAGGAATCTTGATCTTTAACCGGATGCCTTCTTTCTGCAGCTCGGAGGAGGCTTCCTCCCGTGGACCCTGGCTCGGTTCTGATCCGAACCCGCTGCTCTTCACCCTGACCCGGCTGGCCAGCCCCCCGTTCAGCCCCTGCACGTCCATTTTGTCCCACTTGTGTATTTTCAGGGATAAAACGGTTCTGCTGGACTCTGAGTTCCCTCTCCCCGGATCAGCTTTGACCGGAGCTGCCTCGCTGAGCTCCGGTGCTTCTGTTCTCGTCTCCTGACGACGACTCGCTCCAGACTCCTCCTCACCCTGAGAGGAGGCGCCGACAGGACCGGCGCTCCTTTCCGTGGCTTCAGGAGGTCCGTTGGGTTTCAGCGAGGAGGACGGAGGTTTTCCGCTCGTGTCTGGAGGAAGGACGGGGACTGCCGGGGTCTCCTGTTCGGCCGGTCCCTTCCTCACCAGCACTGATTGCCGACCCACCTCTTTGTCTCCCTCCCCGCCTCTGGGCCCAAAAGGTTCTGAGCTGGGCCCGTTTAGCTCCTGCTGCCCAGCGCCGGGGGCTCTGTGATACTCGGAGGGGCTGCGGATGACCCCGACGTGACCGACCACCTGGACTGTGCCCCCCGTGACGCCGTTCTGTCCCTCTTTGTGAGGCGGGTGAGCAGCTCTCCCATTGGTCAGCTCCTGCCTGGGCGCCACGAGGACCTGCTGCGACGACGCCGGGGGTCCGAACGCGTTGAGCAGCTTCCCGTCTTTGCCGCCGACGGCTGCAGGGTTGCAGACGATGATGCTGCTGTTGTTGAGGTGGTTGCTGTGGAAGCTGTCGGCCAGCTTCAGGTCCCTCTTCTTCAGCGGGATCTTGGCCTGCTGGTTGCTCCTGACCACGGCCCACTCCACATCCTCCTCCCTGCCGAGCTGGCTCAATCGTACGCTGGGGGCCTTGATGACGGGCGCGGCGTCCCTGGGTTCAGATTTGACGGCAGTGATGGTGCTGACGCGGTTATCGAAGGCGGACGGTTTGACGTCCGTCTTCTCTTCCTTCGCTGTTGATTCGGTGTTTTCTTGTTTGATGGGCATCGTTTCCTCCTGCTTCACCTCTGAAAACACACAAAACAAATGTTAAGCAACACAAACCTGTGTCGTTTGTTGTTTTCTGTCAGTTTCTATCTTCTTAGTTTTTAAAGCATATTTTTGTCTTTCTGCTCTTTTTGTGTTTTAACCTCTAAAGCCAAAGGGGTTTTCTTGAAGTTTTAGCTCAGAATCCCATGCTGAAGTGTAACTGAGTATATCTCAGCATTTACAAACTCTACTTAAATCATCTTGGTATCAAAATAAAGCAACACTTGGGAGATTTCATCAGAAGTGTAAGTATTAAAACAGCTGCTGTGGTTTTAGAGATATTGAGGATGGAACTTTTTTTTCTTTTTTTTTCACACTCACCTGAATATTTTTTTCTTTAGACAGTATAAAACCCATTTCAAACCATAGTGAATCAGGCTAAAAACTATTGAAAACCATAAACCCACATGTGGACATCATCTGTGCAAAGATTCATGCTGCTGAAATTAACTGGAGCAAAGTTACAGAAGTTTTAGTAAAGAAATAATTTAGCATTTATTCATTCTGCACAGGACAGACCATGATGGTACCATTAATAAATGTTGAGAAATCTGAAGATTTTAACTGCAAAAGTTATTTATTTTTTCTTCCCTGCCTTAAGATTTGTTATTTGATGTTTGTTCTTTTGAAAAATTATCCATTCATTTGTCACCATAAATATTATATAAAATAATGAGAAATTATATTTGACTTCAGTTGGATCAAATTCACTCAAAATCAAGTAAAACAAAACTTTCAACACACTTTACAACATATTTAGGTATCTACTTTGACTTACTTTAAAAAATTATGTCAAAACAATTACCTTTACAGTTTTGTTGTGATGTATTTACAGATTTGCAACAATCCCATTTTGTACAGTTTGTTTACCTTCTGATTCAACTGCCTGTTATTTGAACTGTGTTTGGTGAATGTAAAAATATGAGCTTTTAGCTTCTTAGGTTTCTTTTGATACCAAACATGTCCAGGTTCATCTTACAGATCTTAGGTTAAGAGAAGTTAAAAGAAATTTAAAAAAACGGTACCGGGGACATGGGGCTCAAGATCCAGAGTTTTTTAAGACTTAAGACAACCATATAAGCAGTAGTGGGCACAGTTCCTCTAAAGCACTAATAGGGGAACTAATGTCCTGATTAGTGCTTTAGGGCTTTTGCTAATTTCTTAATTTATTAGCGGATTAGCACTTGCTAAACTTATGTGATAAATTTATAAGCACTAATTTAGTTCTTTAAATATTATTGATCAGCATTATTATCAACAGCTGAGGGTGAAAGCTGTCAGATGTGTTGGTCATATGTGTGTCGCTTCTCCACTAGATCAGTGGTTTTCTAACTTTTTTGCTTTCGACCCACAAAATAACAGCTGCAGACACTCGTGACCACAGATATTACTTGTTTACGAAGCAAAACTTGCTTGTTAAACATGGGAATAATTACTATAAACAAACATAGTAACTATGTTACTATTTTTTATTCATTTATGATTATTTCAAAAACATTGCAATAATCATGATGTCTGGAAGTCATCTGGGGACCCTCACTTGATTTAGTGCTTTAGGGTTAGTGCAACTAATTTTTAGATTAGTGCTGCCCACCACTGCTTATAAGCCCCGCCTCCTCCCCTCTGACTTCCTGTCAGTGTTTTCCTGGTCATGGCTGCACTGCCAGCCCTGATTTATATTCATGTTTCTTTTAAAGGAAAATAAAACAAGGATACCCTGCTTGAATGGTTTCTTTTCCTTGTCGTCAGTTTGTCTGGCTGTAGTTTGGGGGAGTTTCTCTTTGCTGATTCCAAAGTTATTTTCCCCTAAAAATAAAAAAACCAAACACAAATAAAACTACAGACTCCTTTAAAGAAACAATCTGAAATATTCAGTCTTTTAACGTTAAAATAAATCCATGTTTTCATGATGATTCTGCTGATTCGTCCAACAAACCGGTTTCTTTCTCTGCAGGACTGTCGCTCCTGGATCCAGCCTGGTTCTGGTCTTGACTCTGGTTCGGTTCTACCTGAGCCTTCAGCAGGTCCAGAGCTTCGGCCAGGTCGTTACGATTCCTGTGAATAAAAAAAAAAAAAAGACAAAATAACTTTTGTTGTTTTAAATAAATAAAGGCGGCGGAAACGAGGCGAGGGACGACGGGAGCAACCTGACGATGCACTTCCAGGTGGATCCGTCCAGGTCGTCCTGCTCCTCTGTGTACAGCCGGATGTTCTGGTCCTGGTCCAGCTGCAGCCAGTACATCAAGCCCTGCTGGTCCCGACCGACGGGCTGCAGGCGCATCTTCTCCGGGTCCTCGTCGTTGACAAACGTCTTAAACTTCAGGTTGTCGTCAAACTGACACTCGCACAGATACTAAGAGAGGCGGGAAGAAGAGAAAGGTCAAAGTTCTGCAGCTCCAAGGCGAATCGTTTCACCGAGTGGTCTTCAAGGGTTTTACCTTGAGGATGCTGGACTTGCACTCCATAGACATCTCCTGGTACCCCTTCTGCTCCAGCTCCCAGGCCCACGTGCTGTTCAGCTCCTGACAAACCTGCAGGAAATTAGGAATCATTTCTGCTGTGAAAAACTTCTGTTCCTTGTGTTATTTATGATAAAAAGCAGCTTGTTTCAGATGTGGAAACAATCAAACACTCCTGACCTTAGCCAGGTATTTTTCCCAGCGGTCGGTCGTCACAGACTTCCCCAGTTTTCTGAGCAGCTTCACGTGAAGATCCACCAGAGGTTTGGGAACTAAAAACAAGCATTATAATTATGAAGTTAAATTAAAAAATAGTTTTTATGTTCTTATAAAGTCTAAACTGATTTTATTTTCATTTTAAGACACCAAAATCAGTTTTAAACATATTTCTGTTATATAAAAAGTTCAAATCAACACATTTTACTAAACAAAACATATCATATCTGCAATATGAAATTTCTTGCATTTTGAGGTCATTTATTGATTAATTCAAAAAAAATCAGTAACAAATAAACTACCTTTAGGATTTAAAATGTTGGGAGGAAAAGTAAAACAAGTGATTTATAACACCAAATATTATTAACAAATAAAAAAATAAACAGCAATGAGCAATAATTTCAAACAGTATTTTAAACCATCTCTTAAAAACAAAGGACATTTTACAAGACTGAAACTTTTGGCTTTTAAAGAACAGCTTTTGATTATATTTAATATAATATGAGTAAATTTTTAATGTATTATTACTTTGTTGTATAAAATGCATGGCATATAGATTTAGGTCTTACAATTTATTATTATTATTATTATTATTATTATTGTTATTATTATTATTATGTCACTAATTAAAAGTACACCAAACAGAACTAATTAACATGTTTTTATGGGTGACATAATGTGAGGCATTTATGGGACCTTTTAATTTGTTGGAAATTCTAGTTTTCTCTACTAGTTTGGCAAATTATGATCTTCGTTCGTACCTTTATTTAAACTAAACTTCAGAATACAGACCAAGAAACAAATGTTAGTCAGGTTTTAAGAAGTGAAATATGAAGGTCATCTACAGTAAACGCTTGAGCTGTTGCGTTTGATTTGATTTTTAGGGATAAAAAATACGTTATCGGAGCTAAACGACTAATAACTAAACACATAGTAGCGAGAAAGGCACACACGTGTTTCAACAAACAAGGAAACTACTAATAATAGTTTCTTATTAAACGATAATGTGGTGAATTAACAGTAGATTTTCTCGTTTTGTGAAAACTTGAATGAATCGCTGGAGCTAGCTTGTTAGCTAGTGGCTAATGCGCATGTCCAGGTTTTACCTCTTGCGAAAAAAATAACATCCCGAGTTTTGTCGGTGATCGTCGCTTTCTGGGTTTTGACAGCCGCGAAAAATACCGACTGGGGTGATAATGTAATGTTCGTGACCGCACAGGGACCCCCTGTATTACCGGGAACTGGCTGTGAGGGAAGGCCGGTGAAAAAAAAAATCCACCTGACGAGGCTCCGGAGCTAGCCGGTTGTCTGTGTGTGATCGGAGCCCCATCACCGTCAAGTTTAAAAGATCAAAAGCAGCCGTGACAACATTGCGGGCGACCTGTCACCTGATACCGAACAAAACATGGTGCCAAACGTTGTGCTTCTTGGCTTGGGTGTCTCCGTTTCCCCCAACTTTAATACACAAGTCTTTCCATATTTTTCCCCGCAAAACTCCCTGTTTATCCAGTAAAACTGGCTCTGACCCGGGTCATTAACTGTAAAATTACCGGTTCAGTTTACAGCCTAAAAGTCCGGGTCCCTAAACACAACATTTTCCACCCCGCTCCTCATCATCACCATGATGATGGTCGTAGTGTTGGCCCCTTCTTCGGTGAGTGTCGCAGCTTTCTTTCCTGCCACTACTTCTCCTAACGGTCGCTCACCTTCCGCGGTGTCCCGCAGATACACCTCCATCTCCGGGAAAGTCATCTCGGGAAGGTCCAGCGCCGCTCCGTACCTCTCCAGGAACGAGCAGACCTCCGCGAAGCTCGGGCAGAGCGGCGGGCCGGAGCTCCTCACCACCACCGCCGGAGCAGCCATCTTTCCAGGCGGAGAGAAGCAGGAGGGGAGGGCTCGCTACTCGGATGCGACTGTGCGCGAACGAAATGAATGGAGGCGACGAGGGAGCCGCCGGCGTCAAGATGGAGTCAGTTAGAGAGCGAGCTGCTTCCGGGAGGCCCTTTCAAAATAAACACCATGGCTGAATCAATGATCTGTTGTCGAAGAAGTCGGCGATGGTGCCTTCAGTTTGAACTAGGAAATTGGATCTTGTGAGATTAGACTCAGAATAAAGGCCTAATAATCCTTGAAATAATGCAAAATTGCCCCTTCTAAAAGTTGGCGAGTCTTTTCTTCATGTAAAAACTTTTAATTTCTTAAGTAATTTCCTGAAATTTCCGGCGGAATTGTGCCCATATTTGCAAGCTTGACACTGCCCAGAGAAGTTTGGGAGGACCACAAAAGGCACAGCGAGAATGCCCAGAATTCATCGCGACATCAACAATTACATGTTTTTTTTTATCCTCCTCAGATGTTTCCACAGAAAACCGAGCACATTATTACACAAGAACAGCTTTTACACAAAAACAGAAACCCTTTATGTGTGTGGACAACGAACCAAAACTTTCTCATGGTTTATTTTTGTGTTTTAAGCTTGATGCTGCTTTTACTTGAAGGGATGGTGCGTTCAAGGACTGCTGTCGATGGTTAAAGTGGACCTATTATGCAAAATTCACTTTTTAAAGGTGTTTTTTGCTCAACTTTGGGTATGTACTTCTTTAAAAAACAGTCCTAGGACTAAAAAAATGCACCCAGGGGTATATTTACTCTAAGTAAATGTATTTTTATAGAAGAAAAAGAGAGTTATTACAACTTTTCAAATAGTCAGTATTGTCCAGACTAAAAATATTTGTATAAAGCGGTGAATGTTTTGACTGTGTTCAAATGTTGTAGCAGATCATCTATCAAAATAGCTAATAGTTGCAGAATAGTAGACATAAGCTAAAGAGTAGTAAAAGGCTAGCTAAAAGGTAAATCTAAGCAAAAGGTTAGGTAAAAGTAGAAAAGACTAAAAATAGCAAATAGAAACTAGAAGCTAAAAATAGCAGAAGGCTAGCTGAAAATAGCAACACAATAGCTAACATCTTAAACAAACAAAGTAGCTACTTGCTAAAAGCTAAAATTTGAACATTACCAGGTAAAAGAAGCAACACATGTTAAATGTCCAAAAAGAAGCTAAAACCTAGATTAAAGGTTCATGTAACAAAAGACTAGTTAAAAGTACCATAATGGTAGCCAAAGGCTAAAATGTAACAAAAGGCTAGCTAAAATGTAAATCTAGCAAAAAAAGGAAAAAAAAAGTAAAAATTAGAAAAATGCCAAACTGCTCGTAGCAAAATGCTACTAAAAGATAAATGTAGCATAATATTTGCTAAAAGTAGCACAGTCATAGCCATAAGCTAAAATGTAGCAAAATGCTAAGGTAAATCCAACAAAAACTAGCTAAATCAAAAATCAAACCAAAAGACTAGCTAAAAGTAGCAAAGCCTAACTAAAAATATCAAATAGCAAGCTAGAAGCCAAAATTAGTTAAATGTTTGCTTAAAATAACAACACTCTTTCTAAAATCTAAAACAAAGTACTAGCTAAAAGCTAAAAGTTTAACATTCTAGATAAAATAAGAAAAACACTTGCTGAATGCTCAAAGTAACAAAAGGCTAGCTAAAAGTAGTAAAATATCAGCCTTAAACTAAAATGTAACAAAGTGTAGCTTAAAAGTAAATCTAGTAAAAGAAAAGCTAAAACATAGATCCAATAAAATGATAGCTAAAGCCTAACAAAAACAGCAAATGGCAAGCTAAAAGCTAAAAGTAACTGGAAACAACTAAACACTAGCTAAAAGCTAACAGAATCATAGCTGCTTTGATCAAACATTATAAATGGTGTTATGCGTGATCTCTTGGAGTTTGTATTGAGGATGACTCTCAGCTACTGTCACATCAATTTTTAGCACAATATCTGTAACATTGACCAAGTTATAGCCATTGTTCTGGTTGTTGTTTCAAAAAATCCGACGCTGTTGGTGTGTCCGTGAAGGCAGCAGTAAGAAAGGCGGAAGAAGTTTGTTTCTTACAGGAAGAAGAAGGCCTTTTCGAAAGTAACTTGCTGCTTTTTTGTTTTTATTGTTTACGCGCGGCGCCGCTGCTATTTATGAGCTTTCCAGGGATTTAATCAAAACAAGTCTTTTTAACCACAGCTATGACGGTTTAAATATTAAAACACAAACAACCGGAGCCCTGTTGGTAAGTTTTAATTTTTTTTACAATCCGCTTTTTAGACAAAACAAACAACAGTGTTTTTGTTACCTGAGGCTGAACTCAGCCAGGAGATAGACTGATCCAAAACACTAATGCAACGAGTTAAGTTTTAAAATAAATCCAACAACAATATTTATTAGTTGTAATTTTCGCCAAAAATGACATTTACTGTTTGAAAACAACATTTTGTGTTGAAACAAAGAAGCCTGTTGATGTCGCCGTCACGAGTTTAATTCATCATTTTTAACCACATAAACCCAAAGAGTTGCTTTTCTTCTGAGTTTGTTTATTTAAAACAGGGTATTTGTTGTAGTTTGATACTGTGGGATGTTATTGATAGAAACAGATTTGTCACAAAGAGTCACCTGAACTGTAAACCTCTGATACTTTTTACTTAATCACAGGTATGTCAGGTAACCACAGTCATTGTTGGTAACCATCAGTGTGGAAATAATTATTTCTTTAAATTATCACGGTGGTTAACTGAAATGTGAGTCGACACTTGTATATTTTACATCAACTCTATGTTCTCATAGACTTGCATTATTTGCTGAACCTTTGCTGTTATTTAATCAAAACTAAATCTCTTAAAGTGAGCATTTTATGAGGATTTAAAGCAAAATAAATGAGTTTACTCGTCTACTTCTTTATAGTGCAAACTACATATTTGATATTAAAATCTAGTATGGCTTGTTCCTTAATAGGAAAAATAAAAATGCTATAATTTGAATTAAACGTTTGGAGCAGGTGCAGACATTGTAAATGTATAAATAAGAATAATAAAAAGTCACTGATGCTTAAAACTGGAATTAGTTTGAACTTTTATTTTAAGGCATAATTAGATGAATCTGTGGTATAATATTTATAATAATTACATTATCAGGTCATTCCAGGACGGAGAGATGGCCATCGCACATGTGGCTACAGAGTACGTGTTCACGGACTTCCTGCTGAAGGAGCCGAACCAGGCTCGGTACCGCAGCGTCCGGACCGAGCTGGCCGTGGACAAGATGGTGACCTGTGTGGTGGTGGGGCTGCCGCTCCTCCTCATCTCGCTGGCCTTCGCTCAGGAGGTCTCAGTCGGTGAGTCTCGGCTGACCAGTGGGTTCTACTGGGTTTTTATTTATTCTCCTTTTATCCTGAGACAAGTTGATGTAAATGAAACCAGCGGTTTGTTTTTCTTACATACGTTTTTCAGCATCTATGTGCTGTTTACACAATTCATAAATCAAAACGTTCAGCTCATTTATGACATTTGGTATTTGAGCAATTTATAGTTATATTTAGCTTTTTCTGTCATTTCTTCTCATTGAAAATGAATAGAGCCACAACTAAAATGTTTATAAATCTCCACAGCGTTTTTCACCTTTTGTCCTGGTTCTGCTTTTTTCATCTTCTTTGTGCTAATTTCAGCTTCTTTTTTTGCTTATTTTAGCTTTTTTACTGCTGTTTTAGCTATCTGTCTGCTCCTTTCAGTTAATCTTTTGTTAGTCTGAATGTTTCTAGGCTTCAATCAGCTTCTTCTCGCTAATTTAGCTTTTTTCTGCTTCTTTTAGATTTAGCTACTTTGTAAGCTGCAAACAACTTTTTTCCAGCTACTTTTTTAGCTAGTTTTTTTCTGCTTTAGCTATTTTACAATAAATCACAACATTTTGGGGTTCCTTTTCTTTTTTTTTTCAAATGTGAGCTTTTTTACTCTGTTCACCATCTGCTAAATTAGGCTTTTAATTAATTTTTAAGCTTCTTTGTAGCTATTTTCAGCTAATTTGAGCTTTTTTTCATCTAAATTCACAATTTTGTGAAAATTTCAGCTTCTTACTACTGAATTCAGCAAACATGCTCTGAAAAAGCTGCAAACTCAACTTTTTAAGCTAATTTTGGCTGCTATTTTACAATATATTGCAACATTTTGGGGCTCCGTTTTATTTATTTATTTATTTTTGACAATGTGAGCTTTTTACTCCATTCACCATCTGTCTGCTAATTTCAAATAGTTTCGGCTACTTTTTACTTTTGTTTTCCTCCTTTCAGCCATTTTTCAGCTGCTCAATTTGACGGTAACTCATATTGACAGTTTTGCTATTAAAGATTTTCAGCGTTGAGCATCGACACGGCAGGAAGTTCTCTAATTGTTTCTGTTTTGTCTCAGGGACTCAGATCAGCTGTTTTTCTCCCACTAACTTCTCGTGGCGTCAGGCTGCTTACGTGGATTCTTACTGCTGGGCGGCTGTTCACACACACACCTTCCATCTGTGGTTACACAAGGTACACACACACACACACACACACACACACACACACACACACACTCTCTAAGGGAAATGATGATGGATGTTCTGTAATTAATCGTGACTCTGATTATTAAAACTTGTCCGACTCGTCTGTTCAGATTAAACCTTTGTTTGAGCGGAGGCATGATGTGACGTTAATCTCTGATTTTACAGAGCAGGAGCGTCAATCTAGCAGATAATCTGAGGCGCTGAGATGTCGACAGTTTCCTTTGTTGTCAGTCGTGTTTCTAATCCCGCCTGTCGGTCCACGTTCTTTTTTCACTTTTTACTTCCCTGTCCGTTCATTTCTGCAGATTCAAATATTTTCATGTTTTGTTTTGTTTTTTTCTAAATTGAGAATGTTTCAGCTGAATTCACGTTTTGATGGTCTGTTTACCTTTTTTTTTTAAGTCAGCAAGTGTGCTTCTCCAGTCTATTTCTGCTAATTTCAGCTCTTTAAGCTACTTTTAGTTTTTTTCAGCAAAATTGACAGTTTTGTGAAAATTTCAGCTTCTTGCTTTTTAATTCAGCAAACATGCTTCTTTAGTTTCTTTCAGATAATTTTAGGTTTTTAAAGCTACTTTTCAGCTGATTTCTGTTAATTTTAGTTTTTTTCAGCTAAATTCACGGTTTTGTTATAATTACAGCTTCTTAATTTTTTTATTCAGCAAATGTAAATTCTGTTAATTTCAGCTTTTTTAATCTACTTTTCAGCTAATTTAATCTGATTTTAGCTTTTTTTTACAACCTATTATAATTTCAGCTTCTTTTTAAATCAGCAGACTCCTACTAATTTCAGGGTCACAGAATAAAGAGTCAAGGTCACGTTTATAATTATTCTGCTTGTTTTTTATTCTTTTGTCTGAATTTCAGTTTTATATTTTACTTTTAATGTTTTGTTTGTAAATTCATCTTTTTTGCTTCTTGTAACTTCTCTGGTAGTATAATTTTTTCTGCTTTTTAAGCTACTTTTGAAAATATTTATTATTTTCTGCTAACTTCACCCATAATTTCTGCTCATTTAAGCTTTTTTGACATATTTTTCTATTTTTCAACACCTTTATCACATCTGTTTTCCTACTTTTATCAAACGTTAGCTGTTTAATTTCCATTTAACAGAGTTTTGCTGTTCAACATTTTCAGCACAGATCTTTCAGCATGAAGCTAATTTTCCAGTCTGCTTGTCCGTCTTCAGTTCTTTCCCTACGTCCTGCTGCTGGTGGCGGTCCTCATGTACACCCCAGCATTGATCTGGAGGTTCGTGGCGGCGCCGCTGCTGCAGTCGGACCTGGGCTTCATCATGGAGGAGCTGGATCGCTGCTACAACAACGCCGTCACTCTGGCCAAACGCCTGGCCACATCGGGCCTGCTCACCTCGGACAGGTACGGACCTCACCTGCGGATCCGGTCCCGTCCCGGGCCCGCTCGGTCTGTGAGCCGTCTCTTCTGTCCTCTCTCTGCGCAGCGAGCTGACGGAGGGCTGTTTCAGCTACCCGCTGGTGGAGAAGTTCCTGCTGACCAAGCGCTGCTCGCGGCGGCTGCTGTCCTGCTACCTGCTGTGCCGTGGCCTGACGCTGCTCATCCTGCTGCTCGCCTGCCTCTACCTGGGCTACTACCTCCACATGGCCTCCGTCACCGACGACTTCGGCTGCCCCCTGCGAGTCGGACTCCTCGTCAATGACACCAGCATCCCTGAAAGGGTGCAGTGTAAGCTCATCGCTGTGGGAGTCTTCTATTTGCTCAGGTATTTTATTTTACTTGGTCAACTCCTGTAAAATTATATTTTACATCACCTCATCTAGTAGCAGTTAAGTTATGTGATGCGACTGACTCTCAGCTGCTACATTGCTAAATTTCAGGTCTTTAGCTGTGACATTCATGAAGTTATATTCATTTCTGTGTCGGCTAAGTTCAGTTAGCTGGGGCGGCCATCTTAAATCAAGTTGACACCAAAAGTTAATCACTTGTAGACGTCAACGTAACGATTATCTTCTGAAGGTTTCATTGAAATCCAGCTGCTGGTTCATGAGATATTTTGCTAACAGACAAAAAAAGTATTGCACCCCTTTTGCTTTTGGTGTCGGAGCTTTCAATCTTTATCATTTTGTTTTTACTTAATTCCAGTCTGGTCAACTTGATCGCCTTCAGTTTACTCTTCCCCGTCATCATCTACGCTGGGCTCCGCCCCCTCCTCTTCCAGGGATACGCCCACTTCCTGGAGACCTACCAGTCCCTCCCCACGGTGAGCGTCCTGCCCAAACCCGACGGCCACTGGGACGATCTCTCGCTCTACCTGCTCTACCTGGAGGAGAACCTCAGCGAACTCAAGTCGTACAAATACATGAAGGTGCGTTCGGACCTGGAGGCTCCGCCCCTTTTCTCTGTGAGGTTTTTATTGTTGCACGACATCATCTGAAGCTCAGTGAAAACCTCCGGTGATCTGCATTCCTTTGAGGAATCCAAAGCTTTTATTTTGAAAAAAAATGTTCGTACTGTTTATTCCTCCAAGCAGTGTCTTATTT